TGCTGCTGCTGCTGCTGCTTGATTCAACCATCCTCCGTGAGTTTAAATCTGTGTGAGCTGCACTGTATCTCTATGATTAGCTTCAGTTCTATTAGTAGCAGCAGCAATACTACTTCCGACTCCTATCACTACTGTTGCTCCTATTTTTAGAGTGTGTGATTGTCATTACGACTTCTACTGTTGTTGTTGTTGTCGTTGTTGTTGTTGTCGTCACTACCACTGTTAGTCTTTCAAAGGAGGACGAGCAGTGACGGTGGAGCTCCGACTCCTCCAGCAGGCATCGCAGTGCCCTCAGCTCGGGCACCAGCTGCCGCCAGCGCTCGAAAGCGACCTGCCATTGGAATACGAGATTCTCAAGTTCCAAGAGCTAGACCAGGGTACATAGGGCTTAAAGAATAACAGTCCCCAAACTTGCAGGAAAGCTTTCGTCTAGGAACATCATCATCATCACCATCATCACCATTGTCATCGTCATCATCGGCCCGCAAACGGCAATGCCAGTGAGCCCGCCATGCTTAGGTTATGCTCGGGCACAATGTGTTTTGCAGGCAATTGTCCTAAAGCCCCTTTACCAAACACACCTCGGCCCACCTTCGCGAGCGCCTCTCCACTTGGCGATCTGAGGTGCACCCTGGTCCGGGGATTCGGCCGGTAAGCTAAGCATTCGGCTTGAAGATTTAGCGGTTCAGAGCTGAGGCTTCGGAGTTAGGGGTTTGGGGCTTGGGTTTGATGGCCAACTGAGACTTCGGGCTTTGGCAGGAGTTTGAGGTTTTTAGCATGTTTAGCATGCCAGAATTCGTGGATAGCTTCAATCCTCCAAAACCTGAAACTGCAAGAACACTCAACCCTGGAAAAAAAGAGGCGCTGAACCGTGAAAACCTGAACCTGCACAGCAGATCTGCAGGCTCTCCCTCTTGCTGCATGCCGAAAAATTCTGAGGCCCCCACAACAAACTTACCTGGGCACAAGATTGGTTCATGTCAGGCTGGATGTAAGTCAACATACTATCGGCATAGCCGATCTGGATAGAGATGCGTTGTATTCATGTCATGCATATTTGAGTATGTTATTTGTATGCATACCTCTTCAAGCATTCATCTGCCGGTCACAGGTCCTTTTCACACGGTTAGACTTCTGTATGTATTTGGGTTTAGAGTTTAGGGTTTAGGGATTTCAACACAAGCACGCGGCTGCGCATAGCGGTTAGGATTGTCGCTCAAGCGATCATCTCGGATGCACACAGCTCGATGGGCTCTACGTCGCGATGAAAAAAAGAGGGAGCCAGGCATCAGCATTATTGTCAGGATACGTTTTGGTGTCAATTGTATTGTATATCACATCCCATATTTCGTATGGCTTATATGAGGTTCTATCTTGCATCGTACATTCCATCTCATCTATCTTCTATCTTATATCTCGAAAAAATGGGCTTGTGCGAGCTTCGATTTCGGGGACGAGGCAAATGAGGCCTAAAGCGGAAAGACTTTCCAGGCAGGCTCCTACTGCAAGAGGATGGCTTTCGGAATATTCTTGCATACAGCTCCACAACAGCTGCAGAAGCAGCAGCAGTAAGCAAAGCTATACTAAGGCAGCAGCAAAGATGGCGAAGGACTAAGGACTTCCGGCCCGATTTAATGTGGGGCCTTAATAATTAGAATAGGGTTTGGGGGTCTATTTTTGTACAATCATAACAAGGAACCCCAAAACCCTATTCCAATTATTCAACGCCCTATAGCAGTGTGTCGGAAATGGAAGATGAACTTGTGCAAGGTCCTGCTGAATCGAGCTCGGGATGAAGGCCAGGCACTCAAAGTCAGCACATCCGAACTCCACTCAAACCTCGTAGCCCTTACTCCCCCTAAACCTCCAGGCCTCTCTCCCCTTACATAACCCTATAAACGCCCCACCTCAAAGCCACCGTGATTCTGAGTCTCAGGGACTGCTTTCTCCAGCAGCTGCTCTCGCTGCGCAGCTCTTGCCTCGGCCTTTTAGCAGGTCTTGTGGTCCGGTCTTCTGATACAGTCTGCTTTTTTTTCTGGTGTGTGGCAGTGGCATACAGTTCAGAACGTGTAACATATGGTGTACAAGATGAACATACATAATGTACTGTGCATAAGAGATAAGGCATATATAACATATCATATGAGCGGCTCATGGCTATTACTTCACCGCCTCAACCCTAAACCTGCATAACGGAAGGAAAGTCTGGTTTTCGGACAGATTCGGACTTTAGGCTGAGGGTGCCCCAGCTGAAGCAGGAGGCCTGAGTAGCCTGAGAAATTCAGGGCCCAGAGATTGCAGCCCATAAACCATCAGACTTGATTAAGTCTGCGTGCTGGTCGTCCGAACTGCCTCATTCGGCCTTGGACTTGGACCATTGGAGACCCCACGAAACTCTCAAGCCCTGAGCACCTCCCTCTGCCCGGCGCAGTGCGACGACCAGGCCGTGAAAGCTCCGTGGCACAGTCGTCGGAGGCAGTGGCTGCGCCGCCGCTGCAACTCACCTGAGATGAGAGAAGGCTTTGTGTAGAAGAGCGGTGGTCCTGCATCAAGCATACCAATAAGCAAAGCCTCATGTTGAGAGGGCATCTTCTGCCCCTACATCCATCGAAATCCTGAACAGCCCTGAGCCTTCAGGGTCTTCTCGTTTAGCGTTCACGGTTGCACACGATTCAACGCTGTGGTGTGGAGCTCTTTCTTCACAGTCTTAGTCTTGAAGCTTTGCGAAACATTGCTATCGATGTCGGGCCTGCAACCTGAACGAAAGCAAGGCACTCCCGAATCCGAATCAAAGAGGAAACGGCTCTGGATTCGAAAGGTGTTTATAAGCCCCAAACTAGTTTAAACTTCACGGTTCAGCCCGTGGGGTCGTACATGAGCGTGCCGATGCATCAGAGCGGCGAAATCGGAGCCTGGCATTCGCGAGGAAAGGATTCGCCAAGAAAGTCAGCTCACAGGCAGCTCCCTATCAGAAAGTTCAATTTACTAGTAGTTCTATATGTAAACAGATACATATATATATATATACATATATATATATATAGTTATATTATATATATATATACTATATACAATAATGCTATTCAATATTTATTCTAGCTCAGAAACACAGAAACCCTCGGATCGCTCCTGTAGTTCTCCTCCTGGAGCGCGGTGACCAAGACCTCACTGCCCGCTCCTTGTCGCAGCGCCTGAGAGAAGAAGGCCCACATGGAACCCCAAAAAAGAAATGTGGGATCTGGCTTTAGGGTTTAGGGACTTTAGGGTTTAGGGTTTAGGTCGGGTTTAGGACTCGGGTTTAAGGAGAAAGGGTGCGCGAGAAGCACGAAGAGCAAGGAGGAGCTATTGAACATAGAAAAAAAGTCTCAGCGCAAGGAAGCAAACAAGCAAGCGCACAAGCCTATACGGAGGTACAACAAAGTATGCATGGTCGATTCATCCGGTAGGTAACCATCATACCTGGATACCAGCAGTCCAATGATGCCACTGATAGCAACGACGACGATGACATGGAGTTGTCGCCGCCGACGCCGACGACGGCAACAAAGCAACAACGCACGACACGGCTAGGAGAAAGCAAACCCAGGCATGGCGGTTTGCGTTTTCGAAAGCTCAGGCTGAAGTCTGGATCCCGAACCCTTAGCAGTAAGAGTCTAAGAGCTAACAAAAGCTCACCCAAATTCACCTTGAAACTCCCCCATTGGCCTCCTTCAAGCTGGGGGCCACGCCTCGGCTCAAGAGAGCAGGCTTGTGCTTGCGAGTGGCGCAGGCTTTGTAACATAAACGATCCACAAGAAGCTCTTGTGTCCGCTGTACCCACACATATGCACCTACATGCAGACCCATGTACAGACAAAAACACATGCATACGAGTAGTCTTCTACATATACCATACCATACCATACCGTGCCGTACCGACAATTACCATACCATGCCACCATACCAGCACCACACACCTACATATACACAGACACACATCCCACACACACACACACATACATACA